TGGTGCTGGAGCCAGATAAAGGGCTGAATTCTTTCCGAAGTTTCCGGTGATGATTTCCGTCAATCCAGGTATCAATCTTCTGGTATATGTATTGTGGATTGATTTTAAGTTTGGGAGATCGATTCTTAACCCTCAATTTGGCTAGCTTTTTTATCAGGTTTTTGGGTAGTTTTGGCTGGCCGGGGACCAAGACCAAAAAATGTTCCCCTAGTTGAGATGGTTCTTTTGGTATAGGACTTGACTGGCTGTTTGGAGATTTTCCGATCGCCGAAAATTACTCAAGTCACACACCACTGCCGGTGACGGGTGGAGGTGTGTGGGCTACTTCGTGGTGGCCCGTTGAGTCCCAAAATACTCTCCATGTTGCATGAGCATGACGGTATGCTATGATTAGAAATTGGGTACCGTTTGACTCTCAAACGGATATTACGCCTATTAGGCGATGTCTGGGTTCAATAGGTTTAAACCGTTCGATCTGTTCTAATTTCAAATATGTTGTTCTCTATACCTCTAGGATTGTGTTGGAACTCACAGATTGAGAATCGGAGTCTTGGATACCCCGAATTATTAAGTTTAGGTTTAGTAAAAAGGGTCCGATCGTGCGATAAAGAGCGATTCGATAGCTCAATCGAGACCAAATTCTTGAGACTTGTTGTGTAGACCTTGTGGGACCTTTAGGAATGTTCGGATCATAAATATGAGGTCGTGGGCCTGGTTGACCAAAAACGGGAAGTTACTAGAATGGCTTTAGGACCTTTCTAAGTTGTGCACACACGTTAAGCTTCTGGGAACTAGGGTTTAAATTTAAATTCTCAGTTGAGGTCGACTAATGAGTAGTATTGGTGGGTGGACTTTTATTTTGAAGATGCCTTATTTTTCCAAGTATTGAACGACATCCATATGATGAGATTTCTTATGATTATGGGATTGTGTGTATGTCTTGACTGTGGCCTTACAGTACCGGTTAGTATTCCTAGAGTTAATTGCCAATGATAAATACATGGAATTTGAATTGTGGTTATGGCATAATGTTGAAAACTTGGATTTATTATGATGTTGTGATATAGGGCGTGGTGGTGATATTGGTGGGAAACTGACTTGTTTGATAATTGATATTTTAGTTAATGAGGTTATACAAACTTGCTATCGGTTCGATTTCGGCCTTTGCCACGTGACACGAGATTTTTCCGTGTGTATCTTGTCATTATTATTATTATTATTGTTATATTATTGTGATTGTTATTATCATTCAATTATGGTTGGAATTAGTGGAAGTATGAATACCAGTCTCGGATTAGTATATTATACGTGTTCAAATTCAGTTGGGAACAGATCTGGAAAGGTATTGCTTATGGGTTATAAACAGTTGGAGTAGCCTGGTTTAGTTTGAGTTGGGATTGATAGGATTTGGGGTTGTTAATGTGAGTTAAAGTTATAGGAAAAGTGAGAAAGGATTTTGGGGAATACGGTTGCCTTTGGTAAAGTCTATGCACATGATTGAATATTTCCTGTACCTATGGTGGTAGGAGTCCGATCAGTGTATCATCTGTACCTGCAGTCAGGCCATACTGCAAGTGTCTGACTAGTGGTTTGCCTGTACCTACATGAAGATTACTCTGTAGGTGTCCGGCTAGTGCATTGCCTATACCTGCATTGAGTTTACTATGCAAGTGTCAGGCTAGGATCTTTTCCCAACCACCTACCCGATTTGTCTGCACGGGTGGTTGGACAGTTTTCCATTCCCAAATTGCCTTGCCTGTACCTACATGGAGATTACTCTATAGGTGTCTAGCCAGTGTATTGCCTGAACCTACATTGAGTTTACTCTGCAGGTGTCCTGCCAGGATCTTTCCCCAGCCACCTACTCAATTTGTCTGCTTGGTGGTTGGCTAGATTTCCCCCATCCCCCGATTGCCTTCGAAAAATATATATTGGTTGCCTTCACAAAATATATATTGGTTGCCTTCAAAAATTATATTGTTGCCTTTAGAAAATATATCGGTTGCCTTCATATGAAACTATATGTTCCATATATCCCTTGGTGGATGATAGTAGGATGCTATGCAAATGGTTACAGGTATGGTTTCAAGTAAAAGGTTTGATTTAAAAGTTATGGATTTTTTATTTGGTTTGTGTTGTAATAATAAATTAAAGAATTTAAGAGTCGGGTTTTAAACGTAAGGTTGTTTCAACATTATATTATATTTTAGAAATTGTGTTTATCAGTAAAAGAACTACGTATAACTTGATCTCTTAGTAAGGGTATGTAGGCAACCTAGGTTAGCCTTGGTGCAGCCGCAAGTTTTGGCTTATTTGTTAGGTTCGGTTATGCCAAGTTTAGTACTTTTCTGTTTCCTTTGTTGTGTTCTCAAGATATTACTTATCTGGTGCACTTTACACTGCGGAATATTGTCATTCATATTACTATGCACAAAACTATCTTATGCAAGTATGTGGTTGTGGGTTAGTACTTTTAACCTGAGATAATCGGAGGGTGATTTATCTTGTTGAAATCTTGAGGAGAAGTATACTACTAAGTTAAACTGTTATATATACTACGAATATTAAGTATTCAAGATATCATGAAGCAATGCGTGTCATCCTACAAAGAGATTAGTGTTTTACGCATGTTTCGTTATGCTTGAGTGGGTTTAGTTGTAGTACGTTTGTAAATTGGGAAAACTTTTGGTTACTTGTTTAGTTATTATTTTTTTAACGAAGGGAGTATCAGTGTTTGGATTATGTTGTATGGGCAAGAGGTCCATTAGCACCACCTTGAACTTGTGTAAGGACGGAATTTGTATGCTGAACGTTTGATTTATTCTGGCACATTGTTAAAGGATTGAATTTGAGGCCAGAGGTCATTTTAAACTTTGTGTGTGCTGCTGTTGGGATACTTTATTTGTGCTGTTTACAGGTGAAAATAAATTGGTAAGTCTGTTTTTCAAGGGAGATTCTGTTGAAGTTTCGGTAAATGTCTTGACCCTGACCTTCTTGAATGCGGGAAAGAAGGTAATTTAGTAGGTGGATTTGGGAGGAGGATACCGAACGGGCAACAAGGTTCGACGCAAATTCTAAAGGGAATTCGAATTGGGTCTTGTCACTTAACAAAAGGATTATGGAGAGTTTTTGCTTCCAACTTAGGTTGCTTAGGGTTTTTATAGTCGTTGACAGCTATTGCAAAGGGGATTTGTCGGTATGGAGTTTAGTACGCAGTTTTTCATTTTAGAAATCAAAAAGCACAATTTTTGCTGTATAATTAATAATGCACAGTGGTTTAGGGAATCTTAGTGATATATAGTTTCTTACTATTGTGCATGCATCCTTCTTCCTTATGTCTTGGGTTTAGTAGGGAATCTGGGTGGTCCTGCCATGTGCATACTTTTATTTGGTTTTCAAATGATCATCATGTCACCACGAATTCAAGTATGAACAAGAGTTTCTTCACACTCCACGTATTCAAATACATATATGGTAGGGTTAAGTGCTTTGACCATGTAGATGTAGATAAGTGATCAGAGTTAGGGTTTGAAAACCTATCCATGAACCAGCAAGTGGTCGGTTTGAACTGTGACATTGATGTCTTGGCATTATGTACGTGTTCCTTTGCATGGCATTTGTTATTTTGGCACAACTCTTTTCGGTTCTTAATAATAAACCGTGTATGAAACGTTTAATTGTCCAAAATGAATCTCTAAATTTATGGCTTGTCCACATCAAACCTTAAAAAGAACTAATTTTATGTTCCAAAGAATTTTAAAATTTCAACATCCATTTCGATTTAAAAAAAACTCTAAATTTTCGTAGTTTTGACTTTTGCTCATGTGTGTGTGAACCTATTTAACAATTACGCATCATTGATAACAATAGAAAATTTATTGGGTTAGTGTTCTTAATTGTTTATGATTAATTAGCATTTGTCATCATGCGATTACCTTTGCAAAGATAATTTATTTAATATTAGTAGCAGCCTTCACCGTTTCAATTTCAATGTGAAAGAAACATGAACACCAATAGGAAAAACGAAATTTTCCCACCCACATAAAATACCTTTTTAATATTTGACTACACTAATCCAAGATCCAAGTTGATTACCAGGACTTTTTTATTTTATTTTATTTTATTATTTCCACTTTTATCCTTACCTCTATACAAGATGGGTGTTCAAAAATGAAGCAGACTACCTGCACAAGGAGATGGCAACAAAACCCTTTACTGGTTCCTCTAGAAAAGTTTCTGAAACTCAAACAGAGCTCCCACGAAAAGAAACTGAAACAGCGCTCCCACAAAAAGAAACTGAATCACAGCTCCCGCAAAACAGAACTAGTGAGGCAGAAAATAGCAACCAGACTTGGAACATTCGTGAGAATGTAATTACGACAACAGAAAGCAGAAACGTTGGGATTTTCAACTTCAACAACGAATATCGTGAAGGTGGTGCTGTTGATCATCATCAAGGAAGGAAGGGTTAAAACAAAACTGACTACAACATTAATGGCAACAAGATTGATTCAAAAGAGGGGAAGTTTGTTGGGATCAGCAAATTTGGCAACAAGTACAACAACTCGAAGAAAGACGAAGCAAGAAGCCCGAGCGAAGAAGAAGGAACGAGCAAGCCATGATATAAGCTTTGGTAAAAATAAATAAGAGAAAAAGTAAGGGAGCTCAGCTGCTGAATAAAGAAAGAGGCTGGAGTTCAGTTCCATTTTATAGTCCATGTCTATGTTTCTTTGTAGTGTCTACTATTTGAATGTGGTTTGTTATAGTGTTGGAGTTGATCTGTGGAATTTAATATATTGATTTTCAGCATGAAAAATACGTTCTACATGAGAAAAGTAAGGATCAAAATCACAGAAGGATCAGCCCCTAACATATACTCATCAGTAATCTGTGTGTATTTGGATTTATTATTAATTTGCGAAAACGAGAAGAGGAAACTTTCCCGCATTCGAATGCCATGAACATCTGAAAGCTTAATTCTGAGCATGGGAAAGAACTAATAACGAAGAAATCTGACTTATTGATTGCCACAAAACAAGTACATACATATCCTGCGGTCAAGTCTTGACCTGCCCCATAAAATCTAGTTTTTCGCCAACCATTTATTTTTGTTCTTCTTAGTCGTGCCAGTTTTTTACTCAAGCCGCTTGCTTCATTTTTTGTTTTGCTTACTCACCATTGATAATAAAAGAAAAAAGAAGAAGCAATAACAAGAAGAACAAGAAGACCAAGAAGAAATGGTACGCTCGACTTGTTGTTGTACTTGTTGCCAACTTTGCTAATCCCAACACGCTCGCTTTTGTTTGCATAAAATGTATTGCCACAAATGTTGTGGTTTCGACCCCTCCTTGGTTGATGAACATCAACACCACCTCCACCTTCTTCGTTGTAAGCATCGTGAATCCCAACATCTGTGCTTTCATTTGCGTAGAAATCATTCTCATTAATGTTGAAGGTCTCGTTAGTTTCATAAATATTTTCTGCCTCACTATTTTCGTTTTGCTGGAGCTCTTGTTCAGTTCTTTCTCTTTGGGGCTCTTGTCCAGAAAGCGTTCTAGGATGACCAGGAAAGCGGTTTCTTACCCTCTCCTGAGAGCTCTGGTTTAGTTGCTCGGCTTCAGATCGAGATCGAGACCCATCTTATGTATATGCAAAGATAAAAATGTAAAGATCTTCAAATAAGTGGAGGCAAAATACTCTAAAATCAGATGGAAGACAATCTTTCAATAAATAGAAGTTACTATTGTAAACTAATTACATAAATTCCTTAATACACACATAGAATCACATCAAGGAAAAGATCTTAATCAATCAAATAAAAATATTAATCATAATATATAGTACTTACCTGCCATTGATGAAAGCTCAAAAGAAAAGTCTTCTATTCTCTGTAGAATTCTTATGTTCAGTTAGCAATAGGTACTAGATGTTTTTTAACGTGTGTTTATAAGAGAGCATGTGACCTCCTCTTGAAAATGGAATAAATTACTATTATATATATATATATATATTTATTTATTTATTTTATTAGCCTTTGTTATCTCTGCAATATTCCTAATGATCAACTTGGGAAAGTCTTTCCAGCAAAAACCAAAAAAACTTGGAAAAGTCTTGTAAAAAGGACCACTCTTGTCCTGATGCAAAGGGGCCCGGACAGACTACTGCAAAGGGGGCCGGACAGACAAATACTTGGGAAAGTCTTTCCAGCAAAAACCAAAGAAACTTGGAAAAGTCTTGTAAAAAGGACCGGTCGTGTCCTAATGCAAAGGGGGCCGGACAGACTTTTTCAAGTGGTCATGCTTGTGGAAAAAATTCTACAATACATTGTACATCAAATTTGGAAAGCAGCAACTTTGAACAATATTAACGACATGATCACGAACTGGTGCAGAAGGCAATGTCAAATAATATAACCCCCCTATCCGTTTACCATGCCCAATCATCTCGTGAGTCTTGAGATCCTGAAAAGAGCATTAAGCATATGACTTAGACAAACGATAATTTGACACATAATGGCTAATGGGATATTTAGACTTGGCATGTATATAAGGAGAATATTGTACTTTAGGTTTCCCATGAGTGGTTCATGAGGGTCATTGATAAGTTGACACAGATAGATCATTAAAAATTACCTCACTTGATTCACTATCACAAGTAGATTGGGGCACTGGCAGGGCAGAGGGGCGTATTGCATCGAATTCATCCATACAAAAACCATTGTCATTATTTTCAGATACCAGCAACTGGTCACTTGCTGTAGTGTGAATAGTCGTTTCGACACCGAGAGCTCCTGCTTCATCTCCAGATATGGGCAACTGGTCGAGTTCCAAAGAGCGATCAATCGTTTCTTCACAAGGACAACAAGTTTCATCTTCATATATGGGTGACTAGTCACTTGCTTCAGTGCGACAAGTCGTTTCCTTCCTGAGAGCAGTATCTTCAAACACATCATTCTCCAATCCAAGACTCTCCAATTCACTCCCCCTCTCCTCCTGAATTGGAGAGGAGGGAGAGACATAATAGGGTAGTTCTTCATGGAAAGTCATGTCCAAAGTAACATGCACCTTCTGGGCAGGTGGATGATAACACTTATAACCTTTCTGAGTAGAAGAGTAACCAATAAAGACATATCGCAAAGCACAATGATCAAGTTTACTTCGTTGATGAGAGTAGACATGAACATATGCAACATACCAAAAACTTTAGGGGGCAACTTGGAGACTGAGATAGGGGAAACATGGTCACCAAACACATCATATGGATTCTTGAAATGAAGGACCCGGCTAGGAGTACGATTAATCAAATAGGCAGTAGATAAAATAGCATGCCTCTAAAGATGATGGGGAACAGACATGTCCAACATAAAGAAGCAAGCAGCTTCAAGTAAATGACGATTCTTGCGTTCAGACATCATTCTGCTGAGGAGTAAATGAGGTTGTCGTTTGGTGAATAATACCTCGAGCACGGAAGAAAGATGTCAAAGTGTTATTCACATATTGGCCTCCGTTATCAGTCCGGAATACTTTGACCCGAGCATGAAATTGAGTAGACACCATAGTATAGAACTCTGGAAGGATAGAAGCAACATCATGTTTATTTTTTTAGCAAGAAACCCCAAGTGAGTCGGGTACAATCATCAATAAATGTGACAAACCAACGAAATCCATTCGAAGTAATGCGAGCAGGACCTCACACATCAGAATGCACTAAATCAAAAGGCTTTGCAGCTTTACTGTCACTCAAAGGAAACACAGTGCGATGACTCTTGGCCAAAATACATGTCTCACACTTAAAACTGGACTCATCACAAGAGCATAATAAAGATGGAAATGGACACTTAAGGTAGCCAAATGATGAGTGTCCCAAGCGACGATGCCATAACCAAATTTGTTGTTTGTCTTTGACATTGCAACTTTGAACAGTATTAATGACACAATCACGAACTGATGCAGAAGGCCATGTCAAATAATATAACCCCCCTATCCGTTTACCATGCCCAATCATCTCGTGAGTCTTGAGATCTTGAAAAGAGCAATGCATAGGATAGAAAGTAGCAGAAGTATTAAATGTATCAAGTAAGTAATTGACCAATAGATAACAAGTTACAATGGATATTAGGAACTAGTAACACACGAGATAAGGACAAAGTAGGAGCGTGAGAGATTGTGCCCTCACCAGTAATTGGAGAGGGAAGTCATTAGCACTAGTTATGTATGGGTCACGGGTGTTACTAGACAACTCATCAAAAAATTTAGCGTCATGTAAGTCATATGACCAGAAGCACCAGTGTCAATTATCCAAGTATTAGAGCCAGTACCAGGAATAGACTCAGAAACACACAAATTTGCAGAGGCAGTAGCAACAGCACCAACAATAGAGTTATCACCCACGATTACAACTGAAACTCAACAGATCACGGCAGAGTATACAATGGAACACAGCAGAGGCACAAATATGGCAGATGCAAAAAGACAGGCACGAACACAACAGAGTACACAGCGGAACACACAAAGGCACAAATACGATAGATGCACAAAGACAGGAATGGCACAAACATAGTAGAGGCACGAACACCACAACACAACACACAAACCCAGGAGGGCACACATGGCACTAGTAGAGAAAAAAAAATATGGGGATAGAACACAGGTGGGCACAACAAACAGGCCACCAGAAAAATTGGCTCTGATGTCAAGTCAAACAATATGGGTAGAATATTTTTCAGGTTGTATTTCATTCTCCAAAAGAATGTATTTATAGTACAAAGATGTAACCCTAGTAGGGTCAAACTAGGAAACAAGATAATAAAAAAAAACCTAATTACACAATATATGTACAAAAAGGAAAGAAATATAATCCTAATAAATTAGGAAATAAATATCCTAATTAAGTTAGGATCTCGCTAACAGTATATTAATCTAATATGAAAATATTATTATGATTAAAAAAAATTTGTCATGACTTAATACCATAAGATAATTTTTTTAATAACTAAAATTCATCATCGATTAGCATGCAATGGCAATCATAAATCAAATTCACAAATATTTTAATGTTTCAATTTGAGAAAAAAGAAGAGGAAGAAGAAGACATGAACTTTTTTTGTTTTGTTTTGGGTGAGTGAAAACATACACTACAAATTTTTTTGATTGATTGGCAAAAGCTTGTACATATTGTTTTCCTCTTCTTTGGAGTGTTTCCTTTTTCTTTTCTTTTTTTTTAACAAGTTTTTTATTTTCCTTATGTTGTTAACAAAAAGAGAAGAAATGTAAATATACAACTGCTGAATGACACAATACTGACTCAAACCCGACTTGCCTACTAAAATCAAGGCATTGATTTCCAACTCAACCAAATACTTGCTTGTGTTATTGTCCTGCATGCTCAAGTATTTATATAATACCTATAATATTAATATATATATATATATATATAATATACACATATAAAAAAATAAAAAAAATCAGGCCCTATGCGGTGGCATCACTTGCACAGCCTCAGGGCTGCCCCTGATGCTAGTATAAACAGGGCCTTCCACAATTGAAATAAGAGTAAGAAAGGAGAAGCGACAATGAAAGAAAGAAGAAAGTGAGAGAGCAAGAGAGAGGAAGTGGTGATGAAATTCTTTGAGGGCTTAGCATGTGTTTCTTAACTTGGAGCAAAGCTTTGGAATCGAGGTAGGGGGTTTCTTAGGGAGCTTTTTTAATTAAATTTCGTGAACACTATATTATGCATGATATTATTATTTGATTATTATTCTTGATATTGGGTGTTTACATGTTGCTAATTATTATAATATTATTTTATTAATATTGACATGTTCATTTGTTATGGGTGATGGTTGGAATTGTTGGGTTGATAAAGAAATTATGGAAAATAGGATAATAGGAATGATCTTTTGTGTAGTTGAGACTAACCATTATAGGGACCAAGTTCAGGCGAGCTTGTGTGCACAATGTAGGAACACATATTTTTGCGACTAATAAGAATGACACGTGGAAAATGGGATAGTCCTTAGGCCTCAGCTAATTACCCTAATTAGTTAGAGATTTATCTTTGATTTAAGATATGAGTATCTTCCCTAAATCATGGAACCAATTTTCAGCAAATCTCTTTGATTAATTCTCATAATCTTTTTGAGTAAGAATAATCCTAATTAAATAAGGATTATTCTTTAAACCCTAGCCAAGCAAGGAGACTATAAATATATGGCTACACAACACACATGAGGGAATTTAAACTTGTATGTTAGCTATCTTGGTTGGAATTAAGTGTAGACACTATATGCCTTAATTCGAATTGAACTATGAATAGGAAGCGTATGTATGGACCATCAACAACAGGGATTAGATAAATGTTTGGTTGTTTAAAAAATTTTCTCCGATACATAATGAATTTCTAATGCTTGATTTAGGTTTGACAACAAAGGATCTGATTGAAAAATTAGGAATACAAGGTTTACACCATACACCATGGCTAAATTATACATTAGAGAAAATTAATCTTTTTACTTGAATTGAACTTGTTAACGTGATTGTTTGAGACTTAGAATTGGATTGTTCCCTAGTATCTTTCTTCTTTGTTTGTTTAACTTTTTGTTTTCAATTCATGTACTCTTGTCAATCATCTTTAAACCTTGTTTCCATTTCTCTTTTGTGCAGGGAATCGAATTGAATCAATCTATCAACAATCCTCGTGGGATCGACCTAGCACTTACACATGCTATACTACCCAATGGCTTGTGCACTTGCAAGTATCACAAGTTGAGGATGCAGCTAAATCAATTTTGGCATAACTGAATCGACAACACCACATTGCCAGCCCCTGTCCAAGAGAAACACTTACATGAAACGGGAATAGCACTGCTATCCCCAGCCAATTATGTTATGCCATGTGTGATAACTTTTCCACATGCAGTCTGTGGTTTACCGAGATTGCAAAATAGTATTATCCCTGTTC